ACGCTTAGGCGATTATCTATCTTTCGATAAATGACTGAGGGAGATTTTTTCCTGCAGTAGGTTTGCTTTCCTTTCTACAGTAGACCAGTCAGTCATGTATCAAAAGATACATGATTGCCTAAGTGTGTATCACGCATGGTACATAACTAAGTCTTTTTGGAAAATGCTAAACCAACATTTTATAAGTTTCAAAAATCATGTCTAATTTTTCCTTATATTTATTTATTCTACAAGTGTACCCTGAAGTAATAAAAAAAAATGTTTGAGAAACACTGGAATAGAGCACTGAGAAAAAAAAAGAATTTAAATTTGCAACAGATAAGAATTAGTTTTCTTGTACACATGTTTCTGTCCCACTTTATATAGAAAAGAAATAACCACAGTTTTAAATTTTTATTTAGAATTTATCATGAGATTATTTACATGTGAACTATTGTCCTCCTCTTCTTTGTTATTACAATGTTAATAAAGAGATAAACAGAAATGACAGCAAGGCAATAGAGTAAAAGAAACCTCTGTAAGTGCAGTCAAGTGTGACAAGCACCAGCAGCAGTTAGGTTAGGTTTTAAGTTCTCCACTCAAGATTGTCTAGTGGATTAAAACATTGATTGTGAGTTCCATTCCAGGCAGTGTATACTTGTGGATTGATTGATGTTTTTTTTTTTTTTAATGGCTTATCAACCTTTTGTAGTTTATTTAAAGCCAAAACATATTTTGCATTGGAAGAATAATTCATTTTTTTTTTTTTTTTGCAAGTGGATATTGCATTAACAACTTCTTTGGAGATAATGATTTTTTTCATATACAAGTCCTACTATTTAACTCAGAAGGCAAGGTAGCGTAATTAATAGCGTCTCGGATTGAGGAATCTGAGATCAAATCCCAGTCGGATCCATTACATTCAATTACATGCTATTATTCTTGGGAAAGATATATATCTTCTTCTCCCCACAGCCATGGATAAATAGCAAGACAGACTGGGTTCTATAGCCTTGGGTGGCAACCAGTCTAGGAGAAAGTATCTCTGAATTCAAGACTGTATGTAGCCCTGGTGTAGCACATACTATACAGCTAGGGAAAGGATCGTTTGTATTTGCTCATTGATCCCAACTACAGTTGACAAATAATGATTTAACCCATAGCTGGGGAGAAGAGATGGATTCATATTGAAGGGTATTTGTGCTTAATGAACCTAATAGTAATTAGATCTCAGCACCCAGATTTCTCCTTCTGAGCCACTATCCATTACACCACCTGCACATCCCAACCATCTTTTAAAAATTGATTAATGTCATATTAAGAAACCCTATATATACAATATAACAAGCCCAACTGGCATTTGAACTTGGCTCTCAAATTTCTCATTCCGAGCTGCTGTCTATTGCACCACCTGAACATCCGTGTACTTGTGGAAACAGGGCAAGTAATAAATGAGCACTATTAAATAAGGACTATATGAGATATGCCTAGCCATGGTCAGTGGAACAGTCTACCCTCACAGATTAAATAAAGGGCTCAGTTTGAAATTCCCAATTAAGGTTGAGGACACAACAGTGAAAATATAATAATAAAGACGAGAACCATATTTACATTCAGAATATTATCCTCATCTTTGTTGTTGCTATCACAATGTTTCATTCCATTGCCTATATCAAGGGACATCTTGTCTAGCTCTTATTTTACTACTGCTCAGTTAGTACTTGCCACGTTTTCTACCGAGTCCAAGTACACATTGCCCGGGCCAAGGATTGAACTTACAATTACTATGTCACCAAATTCACGAACCAACACTTTAAACCATTAGGCTAAATTCCATGTAGGTTAACTAGATTAATATACACCTAATGAAGGCACATTGGTTGAAACGTTGTGGTAACAAGAAATATGAGGAAAATAGTTCATATGTAAATAATGATAAATCCTCATTCTAGATGTTCAAACAGAAATTATCAGGACCTTATCTTTAATCAAAACAATGCTGGCTTGAACATCTTTGTCCAATATTTATTGCAGAGTCAATCACTTTTAAAATATGTGAAATAAGTATATCTTATTATAATTCTGATTGTTTCTCCCTTAGTTAGCATGACCATTATGTCCTAACAATACCTCGTAAATAAGGGACCATTTCGTTTTGATTGTGGGGAAAGATGGAAAAAAGATATATCAGAGACACTAGTTGATTTCCATGAAGAAATAAAAAAAGAAGATAGATGTGTTTCAGTGAAATGGAAAAAATTGTCAGTTTCAAATCTTTTCATTTGTTCTCACCTTTAATTCTTAAAATGACAATATTTATGACTTATTGCAATATTTTTTTAAAGTTAAGCTCAAATATTTAACGATGTGCTGGAGGAATTTTTACAGATATTTTAGTGTTGTGAAACTCACCATGAGCTTATTCAATCATTAGCTTACGAATTAAGATTTATCAGAAAATTCAAATTGGAAAACTGAAAATTTGAAATATGTGATTACCACAGGTCCTGCCAAACAATAACCATAAATATTTTACCATAAAAATTACATTTAATTCTAAATTAATTTATTTTTTGAAGTCATTTTTCTTAATGTTAGTAAAATGAAACATACAAGGTCATTCATAATATTTTCTTTATCATTTCATCCCAAGCAGGGTAGTAAGGCCACTAATTTCAAATGCCTTCAAGATGTCCAAGGCAACATTCTGAGATTCACCATTCTTAACAAAAACTTGATAAACTCTTTCAGCAATGATTCTTAATACAGCAGCACTTAACCTAGAGAAGCAAAAGCCATATTGCTTATTTGAAAGACCCAAATATGTAAGATGCTTAATCTATTCAGAGTTGATTATGGCCCTTAGCACTTTGCCAAAAAGACAAGGCTAATAGGTTGATAGAAGACTCAAATTGTTCACCACGGGAACTGCAGAAACAAATTTCCAATAAGCAGCGAGGCATTTATTGTAGAGTTTAGAGAGAACAGGAGCCAGTTCAAGAGCACATTTCTTAAGCACTATTGCAGGAATACCATCAGGTTCACATGCTTTGTGGGGATTCAGTTTAGAGATGATAGTAAAAACCATGAAAGGAGTTATATGCATATCACTCAACAGAGAATCAATTCTATCAATTTTTTTTTATCAGTATAAAAAAAAAAAGAAATTCAACAGTTTTTTTTAAAGTCATTTGAAATAAGTATTCATAGTATGGAGATAATACTACTTCTGTTTGATAAGTTGTTATATATACAAGGTCTGATGAAAAGAGATCAATGGAGCAAAAGCATACAGAATGAAGCAGCTTGGCACAGATTGACCTTGAACTCTATCACACGTGCACGATAAGTTATAACGTTCTCGCTCACTCCTTTTGTTTATAGCAGTGCTTAGAAAGCTTGTGCAGCAGTTTTGGGCCAAGGAATACATTCCCCAGGTTCAGCAACCACCACATTCTCCAGATCTTGCCCCTTGCAACTTTTTCCTCTTGAAAAACGAAAGCCCACTTGAAAGGAACAATATTTCAAGATGTCAAGGAAATCCAAGAGAAAGTGACGAGACAGCTGCTTGCTATCCCCCAAAAAAGAGTTCCAGGAATGTGTCCATCAACAAAAATGACACAGGATAAAGTGTATGGCTTCAGAAGGGTACTATTCTTAAGGAGATTAAATGCCGAATTGATAAGTGTTGTAGTTTTATTTTTATAGCACCAGTCCAGATTGTTTATTGAATACACTAACTTTTTGACTAGATCGTGTAACCAAGATAATAAAAATTATTTCCCCTTTTTCAAATATATCATTTCATCATTGGAACATTTATGGCTGACATCTTCATTGTAGACAAATACAACAAAATGTTCGACAACTCAGCAACAGAATCACTTTTGATACAAACAGACATCAAAGAAATTTAAGCCTTAATAATATTTTTTTTATTCTTTTTTTTTTTTTTTTTTTTTTTTTTACAAAAAAGACATCATTGATTTTGCACCACAAAGTAAATTTCTCTAAGCCAAATTATGAGAGCAATTTAGAGATGAGGAATTTTTAATATTTATCTTTCAAAGTGTAAGCTTAGCTTACAAATTTGCGTAAATATAAGAACCTATAATGTAAGAAAAAAAAATAATATAAAATCTCTTGCTGGATTTTTTTAATTATTTTTTCAGCAACCTCAGAAACATTTTTTTTCTTTTTTCCTCTTACAAGTTTTTCAAAGGTAAACTCAGGCAACAGAAATCTACACTGCAAATATTCTCCAAGGTGTTTTAAAAAAAAAAAAAAATGTACAGAAAACCTTAAAGAAAGAAAGCTTGCAATTGCCAGAGAAAAACAAGTCCCCCACTTACTTGATTTAAAAAAACAAACAATCAGATATAAGATTAAAAAGCATTGAAATTTTATTAATTTTATAACTGTTTATGTATTGAAATCAAAAATGGACTTTCAATTTACTTTATTCTTTTGATGAAATTAACTATTTTATGTTTTTAATAAATAAAACGAAAAAAAAAAAAAAAAAAAAAAAATGTCTTGCATTAAGATAATCCCCAAATTTAATCTGATACACAGAAGCTGAAAGTTTCTTTTTTTTTTTTTTTAATATTCAGAAAAGGGGAATACTGAGTAATCTCAAATAGTTTTAAGTCTTGGACAAAAATCAATACATTTTATTCTCCCACTTCTGAGCCCCTTAAAGCCACAAAAACTAAGTTGGCTATATTAATAGATATTTTTGCTTTGCAAAACATTGACCGAAGAGTTGTAAACTAACAGACTTATATAATTGGCCAAGGCTATAAAAAGCCAATCATGGTAACTCAACCAATTTCTTTCTTTTCAGAACTTTCCACTTTCATCTTCAGCCCTAATTTTACTCCTCTTCCAACAATGTGTCTGTCTTGCAGTGCTTACTGCCCTCCCCACCACTGCCGTTAATTATTCTTAGATGCCAGATTGATATAACCAGGCATTAGCAGTAGCTAACAGTGACAGCACTTTATTTCCTCCTTAAACATTCATGATGCCTTGCATGAAGGCAGCAGTTGAAGAATGGCTTGATTATCCGTCACGTCTGCTGGAGTCTCTCCTTCATTACACTTGATAGAAGGATCAGCATGATGTTCTAGTAGTCGTTGGACAATTGACATATACTCGCAGGAGACAGCTGACAAAAGAAAATAAAAAGGAATGTTGAGCAACAAGATTGGAATCATTTAAGAATAAGGAAATATTAGACATTTACTAGGACAATTGAATTAACAGAAAAATAATAATTCATTATACAACTTTACCTTCCTGTACTATGTAAACAGTTTCTGTCACACTTCTTGCTTATGGCTTCATTCTCTCCAGCCAATTTTGATTTTCAAAAATTTAAATGCAATGTGAATTGTTATCTATTGTCTTGATTCCTCTTTTATTGTTTTCAATCCTTAATAATGTTTTTCTCATCCTTTCATACTCAGTAAGCACTGTCTTACTTAGGGTAAAATAATTAAAAGAAAATTTTATATATATATATATATATATATATATATATATATATATATATATGCTAAAATATTTCCATCTGCTTTATTTCATAACGTGAAGTTTGTTAAATCTCAAATCAAGGCAAAGCAGCATACAGCACTACGTAAATAGTCTGATTCACTTGTGAAAAAAAAAATTGAAAATAATTTATGGATTTGTAGATTTGTTCATTCTCAAGATGTGAGGTTTGTCAAAATCAAAAATTTTTCTTTTTTATTTCACACTGAGCAAGGTGATAAAACCACTAAAATGCAAGAGGTTACTGAGACTGAAAAGAAACAGAGAAAATGTTGAAGAGAGAGAAGACAATAAAAAAAAAAACAGGGTTCAATGAGAGAAGATGACTGGTGTTGCATTTAAATTTTTGAATATTATATTTTACAGGAAAGCAAGAAATTGGAAGAGAATTCAACATGCAAGAGGAAAAAAAAAAGCATTAGCAACAGTAAAATGGGGAAACCTAGCTGCCAATTTAAATTCATAAAGTCTGGGTACCATAAATATTTTCATGGTAATTGTTCTGATGAACATTCATCAGAACAATTACCATGAAAGTATTTATAGAAAAGGCACAGGGAAGCTATGTTATGGTGGTGGGAAAGTGACCGAAGCTGAGATGCCAGGTCAGAACTGATGACATTGCAGATTTTTTGGCTTCTGTGAAAAACCTTGAGATATATAGTAGAAGCACAAGACCAGGTGTGGCAGCAATATTCAATGCATGGATGAATGATAGACTTAGGAAGGTGCAAGTTTCTGGCAAGAAATACTGTCTGGCACAACCTAGTGAACTAATTTTCCTAGCAGCAGATCTAGCAATTGATTCAATGTAATCATTCCACTTCATATCAGCGGAAAATGTTAGACTGAGAAGATGCACTGAAACTCCTGGAGGTTAGCATCAGCCATGTTGATGAAAGGCAAAAGAGGTTCTCTTATAGGATTTCTTTATCATTTTAGAAAAGGAGATAGTATTGATTTCACAATCATGAGTCCCGTAACTCTAAGTCATAGGGGCACCACATATGCTGCAGCCACAGTAGAAATGGTGTGTCTTGGGCAAGATAGTCCAACCCTTTCCAGGTTGGCTTGAATTTGAAGTTTTCCTTCCCCTAGACAGGTTACCTCCCATGGTTATAGAACTGTCTGTATTGACATATACATACTTAAAATAAACAAATATACACATATTTTACAAAAACGTTTCACATGACAAACAATTGCTAGTCTGAAATGTTTATATATTTTTTTTCTTAATTTGAAAGGAATCTTTTTGTTAAAAAAAAAAAAAAAAAAAAAAAAAAAAAACGTTTTTGTACACAGATGATATAAGCATGTTTAAACTTGATATTTTTAAATAACAACTAAGTCCAGATAACTTTTTTTAAACTCTTTAAAATGTCAGGTATCAATTTTATACTGTATCTATATTATGAACAGGACCCTAACTTCTGAAATGAAAAGAAAAAAAAAAAAAAAGTTACACCTTGAGAAAGGTCTAATGAATACTACTCTACAAAAATTCTTCCATATATTTTTTTTTTTTATATGAGTTGACCAGTTTATTTAAGTAGTGCCAAGGATACTAAATAAATTTCAACAAAGTTTAACAATTGTACCCACAAAAAGTAAGATAAATAATTAGCCCCATTATTTTTGCATTAACTGTAGAATAGAGGGATATAAACATTTAATTTATGTAAGTCTTTCTCCTTTAATTAAAAATGTATATATTAATTTATTCTTTAATTAAAAGAAAGTTTTGTAAAAAAAAACAAAAAACTTTTTTATGCAGACAGTTAAGTCTCATTAACTCTATAAAATGTTAGTGATCGATTTTACACTGTAAGGTTAATTTGAACAGTGTCCCTTTTTAAAAAGATCAATATTTTGTTTATTCTTATAAATTTCGCACTTCTAGTTTTAGCCAAAAGTTTTTCACAATAATTTTTGTAGATTAGTATTTCTTAAAATACTAATCTACAAAAATTATTGTGAAAAACTTTTGGCTATATATACATTTTTTAATGACTATACCAGTCTATTTAAGTAGTGTCAAGCATAGTAAAAAATTTTGGCAAAGATTAACAATTGTATCCAAAAAAGAAAAAGTTTTCTCTCTTGACACAGCGACTTCCTTGGCAAATTTTAATAAAACCTAGGCATAAAACTGGATTCTTTTATCCTCAAGAATAGAACAAAAATATTAAACATTATTACACGATTATAAAAATAAGGGAACCAACTACAATGCAATATTTATTGTTTACCAAAAGGAATAACAAATATTGTATTCAAAAATTTCTAAAAATATTTGAATTATAGAACAAGAAAATTTAAATAAGAACAGTGAGTAAATGTAATTATAAATTTTTAAAAGTGTCTAAAAAAAAAAAAAAAAAAAAAAAAAAAAAAATTTATAAATCCATGGTGTTTTCCAGTCATTTCCTTCATTTGTTCTCCACACACAAATTCACTAAAATAGTTTGATAGCATCTGGATTTATATACACATTCTTTTTCTTTAAAATTTATAATTACAGTTACTCCTTGTTATGTGCTTATTTAAATTTTCTTGTTCTATTGTTCACAGAGAATATGATAAATAATAAATATTGCATTATGGCTGGTTCACATATTTTTATAAACTTGCAAATACAAAATTATTCTTGTAAATAAACCATCTATATAAATTGTTGGCAATATGCCTGCAAAAAACAACCCCTCACCAAAAAAAAAAAAGTCTCAAAAGGTATGGTTATTCCTTTGACACCGCTATTACTGTATACACTTTTGACTCCCTTGGTAATGTTTATGGTTTTAAAAAGTGATGATAAGAATCTTAATAAAACCCAAACACATGAAAGTGGATTTATACATTATCTTTATTCTTGAGACTTGACAGCAAATTTATTTATTAAATTGAATAAAAAAAAAAAAAAAAAAATTGTTTTCATAGTCATTTATAAAATGGTAAATAATAAATATTGCATTGTAGTTGATTTACATATTTTGATAATTTTGTAATTTTTTTTATAAATTTTTAGGAATAAAAAGGAATTCTTTTCAAATTCATTTCTCTATAAAATGGTAAATAAATTTTTATAAAAGTTAAATAATAAATATTGCATTTGGTTCACATTTTTATAATCTTGTAAATAAACATTGACAAAAGGAGTCAAAGTGTATACAGTAATAATGTTGTCAAGGGAATAAAGGCCCCCTTTTGACACCTTTTTTTTTTGTAGGTATGGTGGTTAAACATTGTTAATAGTGTTTGGCATTTTTGTTAAAATTCAGAATATAGGTTTTAAAATGATAATAATTGTAGAGGGGGGTATACAATAATAGCAGTGTCAAGGGAAAAACTATCCTTTTGATACACTATATTTTTTTTGCATGTACAAATGTTAAACTTTGCCCAAATTTCAGAATACATAGCAGCAACCCAGCTGCTTGTCTTTGGCTTCTGGCAGCTGTGAACATCCACTTGAGAATTCTGAAGTTACAAATATACCTACATGATCACACTAAATATTACCTTAATGATAAAAGAAAAAGCATTTATTTTACATAACAAATATTTGTTTTTTTAACAATCTCATTGTCAATGCACTTAATTCCATGGCAAATTGTCAATGCACTTAATTCCATGGCAAATATTAATCACATTGACATAATATTAAACAGTGAAAATTTCAGATCAAAAGAAAACCAATGACTATGCAGCAGGATGCAAACTTTTGATCCGACTTGTAATTACATCCCTCCCCCACCCAATCCAAGAAAGCTATTTTTTTTTTTACAATGATGATGTTAAGGTAGAGGGTTACAGAGAAAGAGCCATCACCTCAAGAAAAGTAATACTGCTACCATGATGCAAAGGCCCACCAGAAATGGAAGAGAAGGAAAAGATTTTAGAAGGAACTTTAAACCCAATCCTAAACTGGAAACAAGGGTGCAAAAAAAAGTTTTGTTCCAGGGGGCTCATCTTCCCAGGAAGAAGTAGGAAGGAAGCACCGAGTAAACTAGACAATTTTTGTGTCTCCACACATGAGTGCTTGTTCGTTTTATCTTGTGCCAAATTTTTTTTCCATGGGTAGGTAAATAATTTTTTTTTTTTTTTTTTTAAAATAGACCCTTTAAGTAGCTGATACTTTTTGGAGACACACTCAAGTTGCTTCTGGATTTAAAAAAGAAAAAAAAAATTGATAAAACTACGACAGCAAAAAGACTTACCATAATGAAGAGGAGTTTGTCCATCTGTTGCCTGAAAAATAAGAAATGTAAAAATAAGAATTTTAAAAACAGATTATTATTATTGTAGTTTCCCAATCAATGTTCAGGTCAATCCAGATATTCTACCTATCTGTCATATTAGTTTTGAATCTCATTTCAAGGTGCTGGAATCAATTTACATGAAGTCCTGTCAGCAGAAAGTGTGGTTGTTAGGTTTAAATGTAAATATGTTGTAATTGTTATATATATTTATTATATAATGTTTGGTCTTGGTGTTCATTTTAGAGGCTGTGCAAAATTTTCTTCTTTAAGTTCTGATGAGAGAGAAGACTGTTAAAATAGCTTAGCTGCTATTTTGTTAATCATGTTGTATTTTGAGATTTCCTTTTTATGGCAATGTTCGTTTCTTTTTGTTATCTTTCTTTCATTATTTTTTGTTGTTGTTTTAACATGCCCACTTTTGTCATTTTAATTAAAAATAAAATGGCAACTTTTGTCAGTAGAGATACGTTTTTAAACAATAAACCTTTAAAACTCTTCACACACGCTTATGTAATTCAAGTCTAAACTCTGTTTGATCCTCCAAATTCAAATCTTGTAACATCAGTTAAACCAAGATTCCAACGTAATTTTTCTAGAAAATATTGAAAAACTTTTTATTCCAAATAACAAAAGAGAAGAGTGTTATTTTCCCAGGCACTAAACACATCAAGAAAGCCAAAATCCCTTCCTGCCTTCCATCAACATGGCTGATGCTAACCTCCAGGAGAGTGACTTGTTGCGCCTTCTTGGGCTGACATGAAATAGAAAGACTATTAAATCTATTGCTAGGTCAGCTGCTAAAAAGTTCATTGTGTCATGCTAAACGATTTTTCACTCCAGTCTAACCTACATATCTATAAGTGTACGGTTCATCCATGCTTAGAATATTGCTGCCAGATCTGGTGCTCCTGCTATATATTTGGAGATTCTTGATAAAATCCAAAGAAGAATCAGCAATATTGCTGGCCCTGACATGGTGCCTCAGCTTCAATCACTTTCCCACCATTGATAAGTTACTTCCCTGTGCCTTTTCTAAAAATAACTTCATGGTAATTGTTCAGATGAGTTCTTCGCTATGATATCTTGACTTTATGAATTTAAGTGCAGTACTAGATTGGCAACAAGTTCATTAATTTACAGTTGAATTTGCTAGATGCAACCTTAAGTATGCAACAGTTTCTTTTCTTGCACTTCTTGCTTGTGAAACACTTTTCCAGCTCCATGCTTTCCAGCCAACTTTAATCTTCAAAAATTTAAACACAATGTCAATCATTATCTACTGTCTTCCTGATCACTCTTCGATTGTTTTCACTCATTAATGTTTCTGCTTTCTAATTCTTTCACACCAAGTAAGTCTGTGTCATTTACTGCCTTGTTTGGGATAAATTTAAAAAAAAAAAAAAAAAAAAAAAAGCCAATGACATGAATCACTTACCCTAAGATTTACATCACAATTTTTGCTTAATAAGATATCCACAATATCTTCATGGCCTCTATCACATGCCCAATGGAGTAGTGACATACCCTGAAAGACATTAGAACTCATTCAATTAACGCTATCTATGCAAATAAAAGATATTGACAGCCAATGATTTAATCCAAAGCAAATGGAATCTGTAATTTGTAAATAATTTAAGATATTAAAATCTTGGCTGAAAGTTTGTCTCCATCCAAATGTTAAAATGATAAAAGTAAAAAGTGTAGCAACGAAGGTTATAGCACTCCTTGCCAAATGAAACGCCCACAGGTTACAAGTGTTCTCTGATGATTAGAAGAAGGGGAAATAACAACCAACCAGAGTTGTCTAGCTACCTTTCATAGAAAACTTGGTAGTTCATGCAAATTTGGATCTGACCAACCATAAATGACTCAAGTGTATGCAAATCCCTATTTTTGTGTTTGCCAAAAATTGTTGCATACTGGACTTGGAACTTGCACAATTTCTTCACTTACAAAAGGAACTGATACTTTTACTAATCCAAATTAATTGCCAATATTTTAGCCAACAAAATTCAGGACTGATTAATACTTACAAACAAAAGAGATAATTTAATATTTTTATAACTTATGGAACAATGATATGTATATACATTTCTATATATCAGAATAATGTTGGATAATTGAATGACAAAAATGGAAAAAAAAATTCAGCATTTGATGCTGTAGTAAAAATAAAATGAATGTTCCAAATAGCTGCAAATCTACTCTTCCCACAATCTGTGTTTTTTAACTCCACCACTTGTTCACTGCCACTCAATTTATATGCATTTGAAGGCAGGTATGCCGATTCATAGGCAGCACATTTGGGCTATTCTATCAATCCTGTAGGCAGCACATCCAGTCTATTCCCTCAACCAGTTTTTATTATAACTGATAAAATGAGTGTGCCCTGGCTTTTTCTTTGCATCAAGGAGCCAATGGCATTAGCAGGTGCATGTCTTCAGCATTTTTGGAAGTAGGTGGGGACTTCTCCTGTAGATGGAATTAGAGAATTAAAATTTAAGTCACAACCACTGACAACATTTTTGCACTAATCCTCATGGCTGTAACTCATCCTGAACTCTATGATCACATTAAATATTAGAAAGGAAATACTGAGTGAATTTAAAAACAAGTAAAATGCAATCCAAGCAACAGCAGCAAAAATGACAGGACAGAAATAACTTTGATAAATATTTAGTTTCACTTATTAACATTATACTTGAACTATTGTCAACTCTATCAAAAGATGGCACATACAATGCATTCCTGCACAGAGATCACCACAGCAGCGATGACCAGACTGGAAAGGATATGGAAGAGCAACATCAACTTCTATATAAAGTTCAAGCTCTACAAATTGCTGGTCAAAAGACTTGTAGGCTGACAGGAATCTCTCCTTGCCACTATTAAGCATCAGAAGATGTCATGGTTTGGCCATGTCACACAGCATAACAACCTATGCAAAACCATCATGCAAGGCACTGTTAAAAAGTAGATGCAAGTGGGGATGTCAACACAAAAGCTGGTCAGACAACATCAAAGAGTGGATAGGCTTGACAATGCTGGAAATCCTGAGAGCCACCACTAACACATTATCCTGGAGGAGGTTGTCCGTTTCTTCTGAAGAAGGCCAGAGCGTACATTGGCTGAAACATTGTGATAAATATATAAATATGGCAAAAAGAAGAGGACAATAGTCCGAATAATCTAAAGGAAAAGTGTCAGTGTAGTAGATGACTAGATACCAAATAAGAAAATCCTAAGTTATGTATAAAGCAACAGAAATAGCAAGAAGCAAGAAAACACAAGAAAATTTTTTTTATCATCAGGCAATGTTAGAAATAGCTTTTTTTCCATTTCTGCTTTATTTTTTGTTATAAATGACACAGAAGAACTGCTAACTCTTTATAAAGAGTTAGCAGTTATTCTGTGTCATACCCCTTCAGGATATTGGCAATCATAGCTCTCCACATTTTCCTGGTCGATCTCTTAGTAAATTTTCTTTTTGCTACCTCTCCTAATCCTTGTTCTTCTAATTTTACACAAGTTCATCAAGTACGTTATGTGCTGTTTTACCTGTCCCTCTTGTCTTCTGTAGATCTTGTATCTAATTTTCTAATCCCTATTTTATGTGCTCTAGAAATTTCAGTTGTCTCTTTCTGATGTCAAGTATAAGTAGTCTTTTCTCTAAAATTTCCTCATTGCTCACATGTTCGGTCCATGATATTCTCAGTATCCTTCTGTTGCCTCAAGTTTTTTTCTTCATCTGTGAGGAGATTGTTTAACATTCACTGCCATATAGAAGGATGGATATTACATACCGTTCAGTATTCTTTTCTTCATTTCTAATGAAATTTTACTGTTTCTTAATACTTTGTTTAGCTTTTGGAAGGCATCTTTTGCTATCCCAATGCACCTTCGGATTTCAATGTTGCACCTTCCATCTTCTGTTAAAACACTTCCCAGATATTTAAATTGTTGTACTGGCTTGATTTTAGTGTATCAAATTTGTAATTTGCATGTTCAGTTATTCCTTTTGTTAACGACTGTGCATTCTGTCTTCTTGCAGTTGATGTTTCATCCTTTTTTCTCTCACTTTCTTTCACTACCTTCTCTAAGAGTTCTTGCAGTTTTCTTTTTATGTCTGCTATCAACATTGCATCATCTGCAGATCTTTGTTAAGATTGTAGCCACCAATAATAAATCCTGGTAGGACTTCTAATTCTCTCAGAATCACTGCGGTATAGGCTGAGTAAGTCTAGTGAGAAAAAACACATCCTTGTCTTGCACCACTTTCTATTTTTGTACATTTACTGAATTAGTTACTAATTACAGTTATTTCAAAGAGATACGGATATTTATTTATATGTTAACTAATTGTATGGTTAGTAATATCCATATCTGTCTGAATTTCTATGATGTAACATTATTATTTACATGACGATTGTTATCATGACATTTCGGCGGTTGTGCTCCCTGGCTTTCATCAGATGTTTGTCAATCCAGGTAACCTTCAGGGAATTCTGACTTTAATCCTTTAATTACTAGTGTAACTGTGCCATCAAAATTGATGGAAAGAAGGAATATATTATAATATGTATTATATTCTATATTCTAAGTAATTTTCATTTAATCCAAGTAAAATTTTGTAATGTAAAATAGTTTGTTGTTAATGTTAATAATTGAACAGTGTACAATTTATAAACACCTAAGGAAAGATATTCGTATTTTAAACTCATAAATGTTACATATTTACAACCAAAATTATGTTTACTGCAAAAGTTCCCAAAGCACAATATTTTTTGTGCAAATGTGGGAAGGTCTGAGTAATCCTTGACAGTAGAGTCAATCAGTAATTTCAGATTTAGCTTGTTTCTCATCCTACTAAGAGAAACTTACCATCAGATATTTTTTGTCCCCTGATTCTTTAATTATAATTTTTAAAGTTTAAATTAAATTTCTAAAAATGGACAAAGTGTCCTTGAAGATATACGGCATATTATATATACAAACCCTCTTTGATAGCGATATCAATACGCGTCAACAGGACCAAGTTAGCACAGCACTGGGTGGGGGTCATCATTATTTGGCACACTGCCTCTCAGTTGTTAGAGAAAAAAAAAAACAAAAAAAAAAACAATGTAAATATATATACATATATTTTTTTTTTGTCTAACAATTGAGAGGCAGTGTGCCAAATAATAGGAAATAAGGAACACACACACACATTATATATATATATATATATATATATATATATATAAGGCACGGTGGAGTAATGGAAAGCGGCATGGATTGAGGAATCAGAGAGCCAAGTTTGAATTCAGTCAAATCCATTATATTCACTTACATGCTAATACCCTTGGGAAAGGTATGAATCCTCTTCTCCCTCCAGCTATGGGTAAATAGCAGGATAGACTGGGTTCTATAGCCTTGGATGGCAACTGGTCGAGGAAAAGGACAACTCTGAATTCAAAACCTGTGGAGGGTTGTTTGGGGACCTTGAGGCACGTAGTCCACAAGGTTTCTTTACTTGGCCCTTCAAAAAGGGTAGATGGTTCTGCACAAAAACTTCACCACTATAATCAAATCACATGTGCTGGTGTCTGGTTGTCGGTCGGTCCCTTGGAACTGAGCTGCTTGACCTTTCTTACTTTGGATACAACAGGAGAGTCATATATATATATATATATATATATATATATATATATATATATATATATATATATGTATATGTGTGTGTGTGTGATTCTGCTGCTTATGTCTAGGGATATCTCATCTTGTTCTTGTTATCCCTAGACATGGTCAGCAGAATGAGAACAGCCAACGCTGGTAGATTAAAGGGTTCAGTTCAAACTCCCCTGAACATTAACTAGATTGACAAACACCTGATGAAAACCAGAGGGCACAACAGCCGAAACATTGTGATAGCAACAACAAAGACGAGGACAATAAGCTGCATGTAAATAATAACTTCTAATCTCAGATATTCAGACAGATATGGATATAACTAACCATATAATAATTAGAACTCCCTTCCATTTACTTGCTTCCCTGATAACTAGAATTTTCAAAAATTTAAATGCAATATCAATCACCATCTTACTTCTTCTTGAATCCCTTTCGTCCTTTATCGTTTCTTCAATCCCCCCACCCCCATACCCAGTCTTTTCTTTCGATTTCACTCTATGTAACCCTCCGTGTACTAGTGGCATTCCTGACTTGCTTAGGGTGAAATGATTAAAAAAAATTAGAATTATTTCCTAACAAACTCACAGTTCCAAGTGATTACATGGGCTTGTAAAAGTACAAGCAAATATAAGAGTAAAGAAAGGAGAAATGGTGATGAATAATAATAATCCTATTTCAATTCTTTCACGGTATCATAGACATCTGTGAGCCTCAGAAGACTACAGAATTGGGCTCTGGATGATGTTTCAAGTACATTGTTGGTAGAGTGCCGTTTTCATTCTCCCCAGTGCACAAGTCCTGGGTTGGCAGATTTTAGGGGACAGACCGTTACGCATGCAATAGATATCCCTATTGATATGGATCAATGGGAAGACAAATACTGATATACATGGTTCCACCATCATTGCAAGGGGTTGCAAGGACATTGCAGAATACAGCAATAAAATGATTTTAGAGTCTCCAACTCCAAATTTATCCTAAGGATTTACTTCCAAAGCCTTTCCCATGATTGGATATGCATATTTATCTGTGTGCCCACTCAAATAGAATGTGATACAAGATCTAGTTTAAAGTGGGACTTCTGTCAGCTATCCCAAAATTTCCTAAGTTCACTCAGTACTTCCTGTTTTGAGGACATATCAGGTGCTAGGTAATGATGCCAGCCCAATCACAAAGGAGAACTAAAGCCTAATACTTGTTTGGGTATGACCATTAGTCAGTGTGCATTTTTGATATTGCAGAATGATGTGTAAGAAGCACTAGAAGAACATTTTTTAAAAAAAAAAGAAAAAAGGTTGCTTACCTCTTCATCACAAACATTGACATCTGTTCCATTTTCCAATGCCTGTACCAAGTCTTTCATTCTGCCTTCTTTACATGTATCAAATATTGTCCAACTTGTATTCTCATCTTTCTCTGGGGCATGCATTTTGCTTACTGTACGTCCTCCAATGTGAGAAAAAGAGGAAACGTCAGTCAAGCCTTTCTCCTGCAAAGAAAGACAATATATATTACATGAATGAACATCAGAATACAAACTCTACACAAGTAATACAGAGACAAGCATTAAATAAGGAAAAGTTAATTCCCTTCCATAAATAGAAAACATTAATTTGGACAGTTTTAAAATTGATAGGCTTTACTTTATAGACAGGAACGTTTGCCAAGTGATGTCTGTTTTTCTGTCAATAATTTTTGTTGCCCCCATGTCTGTTTTTCCATAAATAATTAATATTTTTCCCCTGCTACAACTATTTTGAGCAAACTTGAACATCATTGACCAAGTTTCTTTCATTCTCCTCTCTCCCATGATTTCTCCTTAGTTCTTTGCTCCACAAACTAACACTTACTTATCTGATCCACATGTTTTATTTGTTGTTCTCTTCTATGTTTAAGTCCTAATGAGATTGTCTAACAGTTCTTCTTTCCTTCTCCATATATGCCAATTGAGTCACAGTTTTAAATCCATAGTGATTATGTCACACTTTGCAGTTTTCCACAGATTTCCTTGTTTGGTATTATTTGCAGTATACACCAAGTATAGCCGTGAGCATCCTTGCATATACTTCCTCAGCAAATAACTTGTCATTTTTGTTTAAGATTACCTTTCAACACAGTAAAAGAGCAAGTTTTTCCACTGCAGCTCAAAAGAAATAATGCTAAAAGGTGTACTAAAACCAGTTACTTACCTTGATAGTATCTAACCAGTTTGGATATAAAGTATCAACTTCAGAAATATATTCCAACATGGCTTTTTCCTTGTTCATTTTTCCTAGGCTTTTCCAAGCTTCCCTAAAATGAAAACAATATCAGCTTTAAGAAAAAAAAATAAATTTCACAGCACTATTTCTAAATGCATTAATTTTTCTAAGGTAGAAATACAAAATCTGTAAGAGTTTCTGTCTATATTTCTGAGATGAGGTATTATGTACACTATTTACATTATTCGGACTATTGTCTTCATCTTTGTCGCCATGTTTATCACGTTTCAGCCGTTGTACGCTCCAGCCTTCTTCAAGTGGTTGGAATGTCAAACTGAACCCTTTATTTCGCTCACTGGGGTAGACTGTTCTAGTTCCACATGCCATGTCTAATAGATGTCAGTTATCTCCTGTTAATTCTCCACTGAAAGTTCTTTAACCAGGTATTGAACTCACACTCTTTGGGTCCTGTCACTGGATCTAACTAACGGCACAGTGGATAAAGGCGTGAGTTAGATCCAGTGACAAAAGATGAGGACAATAGTCCGAATAATGTAAATACTGTAAGAGTTTGTTATATATATATATATATATATATATATATATATATATATATATATATATATATTTTTTTTCCTCACAAGTAGCACAACTGAGTTTCATGCATGACACAATCTTCAGAAGATTGCATTGTGCATGAAACCCAGAGTCGTGCTACTGGTGAGGAAAAAAAAATATAGTTCTGTTATACTACATTTAGCATTATTTTATTAACACCAGCACTCAATAATCTTGGGTATGATGATAAACTACATCCGGCAGCAAAGCCTCTGATTGGGAAATTGGAGATTTTAAGGTGCATGGAAAAACAATTGCTGTTGTTTTCAGGTCCATCTTGACCCAGGATGATAGCACCTGTTAGGGTCCAAGTTATGGGAAAATTGTGAACACCAAAACACTATGAAAATATAAAAATACAATTTTACTGTAAAAATACATACAATACATTTTTATATTAAAAAAGAAAATGACCAATAATACATATTTATAGTAAAATGACCAACAATACATTTTATCTGTAGATGAAGGTATACAATTGCATGTTATGTTGTTAAAACAAAAACAACCAATATGAAAGGACTTTTTTTATATTAAACCATATATCCTACAATTTCTTAAATCAAAATGTATTCCAAAATATAACTTCAACAAAACTATAATATAAAACATACATTTCCCTTTCTCTAGTAATTATCTCCACTCAAACATGTATATGCATAAAAGATGAGTATCATCTACCATGTATTCAATTGTGAAAGCAGAATAACATTTTTATTATTTCAAAGCTCCCAAGAAAAACTTCAGCATTAAATGACCCATAAGGAGTTGATATGCCAGCACTCAATGTGCGATATTATCTATTTCTCTCTCATATATATATATATATATATATATATATATATATATATATATATATATATATATATATATAGTGTGTGTGTGTGTGTAATGGGATGATTAATTGGAATCGAAATATCAGAATTTTTGGAGTATCACAGAATATTTAATCTAATTTCTATTCCAGGTACTAATGATAAAAAGATATAAATATTTATTGATTTAAAACTATCAGTAAAAGTAAAATCTATAGATCATAACACCTAAAATTTAATTTACATCAAAAATTGTATTTAATTTTATTTTACTAATATTTTGAATTTTTTCTCATTTATTCTTCGGAGTCAAACGAGATGCAAGATTTTTAAGTAGAAGTGTATAAAGAAAGTTAAAAACGCGTATTTTTATCCCATTTTTATGTGGCATGATTAAGTTATCAGGTTTTCCACTTTTAACATGATTTGTTTTAATATTTTTAAAATAACACTATTAAAATTTCATCTAATAATCTAATAAATAACTGAAAAAAAATCAATCCCATGCAAAAAATATACATTTACAGTTGTTCTCATCCTTATGATGATTTTATTTTTAATCTTGTTATTTTAATACTTTGTAACATTTGAACCTCATACCTTTATAAAATGATCAAGTTGGATATCTGTGTTATTTAGTTTTCAACTTCCTAATATTTTTTAAAAATTTATTGTAAAGTTTGCTAAAATTTCTTGTATCTCTTTAAAACAAATCAAGGAATATGTTTTTACTGTGTTGTACTTTTAGTCTTTTCTTATAATAAAAATGAAACACTTTAATTCTTGTTAGAAATTATTATATATTTAACTTGTGAGAAATTCATTTTAGACAATAAAACTTATTAGTGATTAAATTTTTTAGATAAGATTGAAAACTCTTTATTATTTATGTATGAAGTTGCTGTGATAATTCATATTTAATTCTTATTAAACATCTGTAAGCAAATTTAAAATTTGCATTTATTTTTTTTTTATTCATTGTTCTGCATTATTAGATATTCCTTGTACTTAATCAAAATATATGCATATGTGTTAAACCACAATAGAATGATGCCTTTTTGCTTAGAGTATTATTGTTGCAGGGTGTCTCTTATTTTTGAAGTACATGCTGGAATTGAATTGCCATCCCTAAGTTTGTTCCATTCATTGAAAACTGCCACATATAAAATTTTAAGGAGATTGCATAATATTTAGAGGGCACCTTTGCTTGCTAAAACTTAAATGGTGGACAAAAAAAAATAGACACTTTTTTTTTTATTTTACAATTAATATCAAACTATTATTAATTGAATCTTTACAAATTATACACATTAGAAAACTAGAAACATTATTTATCTAACAGTGAAAAATTTAAATTTTAGCCAATGCTTATTATTTTCAGACAACAATTAAGGCAAGTGTATCCAATGCCAAGCAGAAAAGTAGAGTTTGGAAATTTTAAATTTCTGATGATAAACAAAATAAAGCAATATGTCAACTGTAGCTAGGTACTTAGTGATTTACATAAAAAAATTGTTCTCATTATTGTTTAAAATCTTATCCAAATTTTTGAAATAAAAAATATCTAATTTAATTTCATTAGCTTTTGTATTAATTTTTCTACTAAATGTTTTATTAATAAATGTACTTTGTTCATTAAGTTTCCCAAAGTATAGGGCCTGAAAATAATGAATTTTAATCATTGTTGGTACTGGAATTGGTATATATATTATATATATATATATATATAGAGAGAGAGAGATGAGATGGCAGATTTTTATTATTTTAACTGTTGGTAAGGAGAGCTTTTCCTTTCATTGTTGTGTTATTTGTTTTTTTTTGTTTTCTTTAGGCTTTTTTCAACAAGGGCGTTGGTGTAAATGGATTTTATTTCTAGACTAGCCAGGATTTTATCAGTCATGTTCATTTTGCTTAATTTTTCAACTAGGCTGCCTGAGTTCTTTATATGAGATAAACTGATCATTCCAAGGAGAGGGGTTAGAATTTTTTGTTATGGCTTTCGCCAATTTAATGGAGTGGGGGTTGTTGAACTGTCTATTCCTGAGTGCTGGCATCTCATCACCAAGCAATGTTATTTTATTTTACAAACACATATATATATATATATATATATATATATATATATATATATATATAAAGTTGATGGCTCTATTTATCCTTATCTGGTAATTGTTAATTTCAGAAACACATTAAGAGAATGCAAACAGTTGTAAATATCTTTTGAGCAAACTTTTAAACTAAACCATCCATTTTATTTAACTTTTATCACTGTATGTGATATTTGCTGTGCAAAAAGTTTATCCTGATCACTGAATTTGAATTTGATAGTTGTGTTGCCATATTACTATAGCGACAGAAAACACCTTTGAGGGAAATTAACGATAAGATTACTGCAATTGAGAAGCATTGAAAAAAGAATGCAGTAGAAAGGTAAGTAATATAATGCAGAGTGCTAATGGTTAATCAAATGAGTTTTTAATATTACATTCTTAATGCTTGTAAAGAATGTTCCTCAACTTGCATACTGTTAACAACATGATTTAAGACTCATATTGTCAAAAGTATAGACAAATCACTGTTTGAATAATGGGAGCAGTACCATCTAGCTCCTTCATTGTTAATGGCTACCATTGATGGCTCTGAACAATTTTGTCTGTCTAATTTCACTCATAAGGCTTGGGGTCAACTTGTGGTGTGGTTTTTATGTGTTCCCCGATGATGCTGCTGCAAACTGGGATCATCTCCCCAGAATGATATCATCAAAGTCACCCCTCCTTGACTAATCAGTCATTGTGAGATTTGAACCTAGGTCTTATAATCAGTAGGTTAACATTCTAACCATTGAAACATTCACATATTTACATTACAAATCAGCTTATACAATTTACTGAAAATCTTTAAACTCTCACCATTTTTGTTTGGCTTCAAACTGTAACATTCCTGGTTTTGGTATATTACATGGACCTTCTTTAACCTAGAAAAAAAAAAATAAATAAAAATAAAGGCACATTTTGCTCAGGAAAAAAAAATGAAGATGGCTTGGCTAAATTTGCTTTTTGGTGATTCAAACAAAGAAATAAAAAATAAATTGTAAATCCGGTCTACCTTGCTATTTAACCCATAGCTGTGGTGAAAAAGAGATGGATTCATATATTTCCTGAGAAAATAATTGCAACAGAATAGGCCAGAATTTGAACTTGGCATACTTATTTCACTTTCCATGCTGATAACTGTTACACTTAACATATACTGCGTCTGATAAAAAAAAAATTATACTCAACTCAATATAATGAGAATTCATTTTGCAGTGCTTTCCAAACTGATGTGTCATATCACCTTAGTGGAATTAATTACACATTCATTTTGTAATATTTTGTTTAATTTGTTCGTTTTTGTTTTTTTTTATACATAAATTTTGAATTACATATTTGGTTTGGTAAACTAAACTGGAGTTCAATGAGTCACAAAAAATTTTGGCAATGCAAGAAGTTTAGAAATCTTTGGCATGAAACATTGACATATGAATCGAACAGGAAACAAAATAGTCAAAATTTAACAACTGTTTTCTCAAGGCAAGTTCTCACAAACATTGAACATTAACTTCATATGCTATCAGAAGCAATAAGATTATCAATGCAACACAAGTTTTAAAATAACAACAGAACTGTTTGACTATGTTTCTCTTCAAAATAAAATCCTTAAATGAAATGAAAGTATTTAAGTGGCATAGACTGCAGCAGACAATGACAAAAGGAACAGTAGTTGAATCAGATGTTTAAAAAAAAAATCTTTGGATTAATAAGTATATTAACAACTTTTAATTCTTTTTAAAACTACTTATTTTGGGGTATTATTAAAATTCCAATTTCTGCATAAGACACTGAATTACCTCCCTTAGATTTCCTTAAATTTGTTTTTTTTTTTTTTTATATATAACTCGATTCATGTTTTGAATCCTCCTTTGGACAACTGAAATAGACCGTAATAAAAAGAAAAAAAAAGAAAGAAAAGAAAATGTGTGTGTGTGTGTGTGTGCGCGCAAAGACATATATTTCGAATTTTACATAATTTAAATAAATTAACGAAATGTTAAATGTCAGAAAACAAACCTCAAAAAATAGTAAGGATAAACGACTAAAAACAGGTTTGTGCAAAAAAAAAAAAAAAAAAGCTTGCTCTCAGACGTTTACAGCATCAATGATTATTCAACAAATTATAGTTTTTTTGTTTTTTTTTTGGTGGGTGGGGGATTCTCGAATTGTTAAACTAAAAAGCGAACATTTTGGGGAGTTCCTACTAGTGTTGGATTCTAATTCACAAGAGAAAATGTTAAGTGACGAAAAAAAAAAAAAATAAAAATAGAAACAAAGAGAGAGAAAAAAAAAAAGAAAAGAGGCGTTTTGTTAGTTATTTAAAAATAAAGAAATAAGTGGGGACTGAGTACTAATTTACCAAAACTAAGCTATTCTTTAAATTAATTTATATCTGGAATAGGTCAATAATACTAAATAAATCCTTTCTAGTTCTTAAAGTTTTATTTATTTTTCGCCCTCAATACCATCATACACTTACGGCCCCCCCCCCTCGAAAACATTATTTTCCTTCTTCTGCCCTTTTGAATAGAATGGGGGGGGGATTATCAGGGTATAAATTAGTTAATTAGTTAGTTATTTAAAACAGCAAAATCATAAACTTCTTTGGTACATTCTTTTTTTAGTGTTAGAGTTTAGAGATGCAAGATGACATTTATTTTTCCATCCATAATTTTTTTTTTTTTTTTTTTTTTTTACAGCAAGCAGAATTCTGATATTTAGTTTTTAGTTAGTAAAATAACAATTTCAAACAACTAAGGCACCCCCCCCAAAAAAAAAACAAGGATTTAAAATTTAAAATTTTAAATTAATTCATTTGAATTACCAGTAGTGCTTTTCTTTAAATTTGATTATTATTTTTTTTTTTTTTTTAAAAAAAAGACTGTTTGTATTTATGGCAGTCTTTTAAAACGACAGAATCGGTTTCCAAGAGTAGGATGGTGCAAATTATAACAGAAAATTTCAACTAAAGGTAAAAAAAAAGATTAAAAAAAAAACCAAAAAACAAAAATGGGTGTATTAATAAAAAACAACAATGTTTACCTGTTTATATCGGCCATAGAAAAACAGCATCTTTTTTGAATCGAGATCCGAACCATACTGACGAATATAACGAGTGGCTCTACCAAATTTTGATGTTAAGGAGTCGTCTTCGCAATTGTAATCAATTTCCATGATGACTTTTTTTTCTTTTACTTTTTTTTTTTTACTTCCACAAGAAAGTAAAAACAATTGAGTCCAAAGTTTAGCGATTCACATTAATCAGCTTCCTTTTTCACCTACTTTACGGGACATAAAACCGATCCCTCGATGATGGTTTTTTGCAAAGAGGTTCTTCTCAAAGGAATAAGTAAATAAACTGAATTTTTAAAAGACCGAAGAAATAAATTATATGTACCGCACAGCGAAACTAAATTTCACACGACGAAAATGCAAAATTTATATTAAAAATAGAGTATTTTTTAAAAGCTGCCTTTTAGAGTTCACTTTCTTTTTAACTATCGTCATGTGTACATTTTTTCACTCCTTATAATTTTCTTATTTCATAGTTTTTTGTTGTTAAACATTGTGGTCGCATCTTAATACAGACTTACAATGACGTGCATACAGCCGATCACGTGCTCACTGCTATTCAATATAAAGCGCCATTGCAGTAATATAGAAGCGTCATTGTGATAAGGGCAAATCATCATTTGCCCTTATAATTAATGAATTAACCATTAAAATATATACTTTATTTGGTGAAAAGTTACTTTTACAAAAAAGATACAAAGCACTCAATTAGAAGATAAATTGGATATAGGAAGATTGTATCACATTAACAAATGTTGCCTTGAAAAATCAACATTTATTTTTTAATATTTGTGCCCCAAAAACTGACCACTGTTACTGTTTTTATTTTTTTTTAATGACATGTCCTTTCAGGATGTAAACGATCATGGTTCACCACAAATCTCTTGTTTTATCTATGAATGTTTATCTTTCTTGGGAAAGATAATGGAATGGTTTCCTGTTGGCTTCTCCACAGTTTTGGATTCAGAGCAGTCATCCTAGACTGGTTACTATGCAAAGCTAGAGAATCCAGTCTACCCTGCTATTTTAACCTATAGCTGTAGAGGGAAGAGACATGAATACAAATAGGCCAGAATTTGAACATAGCTCACTTATTTCACTTTCCATGCTGATAACAGTGTTACACTATTTGCACATGCTGGTTCTGATACAAAATTATACCAAGAATATATAGTTCTAGTATTAACTTGGTGTGGATTGTTATTATTAAATTTGGGAATGAAAGATATATAGTTATATACAGCATTTCCACTAAAAGGGAAGAAAAAATTTTGCCTTTGAATGTGATTTTATTTTCATTCAAATTTTTAATTGTTCAAACATAAGCCCTATAATTGCTTTTTTTTTTTAAAAAGATATTACACATTAATAAACTATATAATTCTGAATCATCAAAAAACAAAAAATTATTAAACAAATTTTTTACTGTTTTTTTGTGTCATTTCATATATAAAGATATATTGTGCTGTGGTGAATATGAAACAAAAACTCTCTTTTCTCTACTGTTTTCAAATTCATGAGTCTATGTGAAAATTTATTTTGACTAATGGAAAAGGGAGCAGCTAGCAAACTGAGAAAAATGTAACAAGTTGATGTGAAATTGCTTTCTGATATAAATAGGCAGTGAAAGTTGAATCAAAGCAGAGAGAAAAAGCAGAAAGAAGCAGGAGGCAGGAAGCCAGAGTTTTACATGTCTGAATAATGCCAGTGTCAAATTACAAGCAGATACATTATCAGTCTCTAATGATAGCAGGATAATTTCAAATAACTCTATTCAACTGTAAAGCTAAGTACCTTAAAATATATCTTTTCATTCGTGTTGACTATAACCATATAACTTTTATGTGAAAAACGAACTCTCTCAATTTGTTTTAAACATTTTGGAATATTACTTTGTCTTCAATGATTTACTATGAACATTTTCTCTTTTTGACAATTCATCAAAACTACAAACTTTAAATATTTGATTCCTTTTCCTGAAACAAGCTGCTGACAACTTCAAATGTCTAAATTTGTAAATAAATTCCTTATCTTGTTTTGTTAAATATAACACGTATTTCCCCTCGATACTTCAGTGCCCAAGATATATTAGCATGTTGGAGTTAGTCATCCTAAAATATAATAATTATTCACTTGGGGTCATTCTCCTATACTATAAATACTAAATGACTTCTCACCTTGTTCAATTTTTTCATTTCTTCATTTTATATCCAGTTACAATGTAAGCTCTCTTAGAAGATCCACGTCTTCCCATTTGTGGGAGATGCCATGAACATTACACACACACACACACACACACACACACACACACACAAACATATACACGTAGGTACGAACATTCACCAAAGAACAGACACAAATGTTCACACACACATACAAATGTTATTGTCTATGTCCATTGTAAAATTGTGTTGTTTAATACATATTTGTTTATTTATATATATATATATCAGTCTTGTTTGTTTGTCTTCTTTACATCTTCAGTTGGACTTAACTTGAGTCTGGCAATTTTCTTGTAGTTGGACCTTTTAATATTCTACCAGGAGTTACACATGTGTTTTGAATACAACAATACGTAAATACCCCCGTGTCCTTTACAAGCAGTCAGTCTAGCTGATTTCTTTTATTTTGACCACCAAAATTTTCCATTGCCAAAACAACTAAGCAATATCAGCAAAGAATTATGTAAGGAATCAACTGTTATTATATCTCTATGCTAGTATATCATTACAAAACTTGGCTGTCTGTCCTTGATTCAGTTAAAATTTATGCATATGTTAAAGGGTAAGAAATATATCATATGACAGTCTGGCTAGAGGCACAAAAAATTAGTTACCTGGTCAGTTGAAGTCAATTCATCATAACAACAGCTTATGTAGTCCAGGTTTTCATTTTCTCTCACTTTTATGGCTGAAAATTAAATCACTAACACAATGTAAGTTAACTTACCAAGTGAGACTTCAATTCATTTCTCATTTCCATGTCTGCTATGCATCTTGTATCTTTTTTTGTAAATATGTAGATAAAGTGTTTTTTTCTCAAACAATTAGGCATATCCTTGTCTATTTCAACCTATGGACAATTTGTTATTATATCATGGGTGTGGTAATACTTATATCAGAATAGTTAGATAAATTTCTTTCCACTAGCTGTTTCAATATTGGTTCATAACCTGTCATGATTTTTCATGTTGATGCTGATATCTTTCAAAGTAAAGGAGCAAATTTCTCTGAATTTATTAGGAAAAATGAAGAAACTTTGTAAAAATGACTTTTAGTTAATCTTTGAGAGTTTATAAGAAATAAACCCTATTCCCAACACAATGACATGCCTACATACATACCATATTAAAACATGCCCAAAGTTTATTTTCTACCCAATAACAGATAATATTATAAATATACCTAAAAGATTACACAATGCAATACATATCATTTAAATCAACATATCTTCTGGTTAGAAATTAACATGACCATGTAAAATATTGACCAGTCACAGAAAACTAAAACCTTATTTTTCTTGAGCCTACTTTCAGGAAATTTTTTTTTTAATAAAAAACAACAGATTTTAACTTTCAAAGAGCAGATATGTTGCTGTCTCCAAGTTATTCAAGATGTGGCTACATAGCTTCTTTCTTTCTCCCCCAGAGTGTGCTGGAAAAAAACATATGTTTGCAACTTCATATGACCAGTTGATGTCTACAAATGAATCATCACCACTAACAACGAAGATGACCAATTGATGTCTACAAATGAATCATCACCAACAACAACAAAGATGGTCAGTGAATCTTCATTAACAATAAAACTAATTTATCAAACACAATTTTTTTTTTTACTGTAGACCAAATATTTAAGTCCTTTTTAAACTATAGCTTTTTTTGTCTACCAACTACCCAAAAACTTTAACTGAACAAAAGATTATTTCTACTCCTTTTTGACTTCTTTGAATTCATGTACATGTTTGTAAATACAAATGATGTATTTAATAGGCAATCCTGTATTTTCTTTATTTTTATTTTATTATTGTTTGGAATTCAGATGTTTGGGATTTTAATATAGAAAAATATGGCTGACTGAATTTCCTACAAATTATTTACTCCCTTATTGTTTTTCAAAAATAAGAAACTTTTTATTTGTTTGTTGGCAAAATGAACTGTGCCTAATAATTGGGTTTTTATCTTTTTAATTATTTCATTATATCTGTAGTGAGTTAGCACACACATACACACACTCTTTAACACACTGGTCAAAACATACACATAGCAACAGTAGGATTTGGTGCTCTGCCAAAACCTACATGTATGGGAGTTCTGGATGGGTTGCTGGACTGTCCAATCAAGACCCTGCTGCTTCAGTGGGAGATGTAAGGCTCTTGGCTTCTTTTCAACTCCAAGATGTGCAGTGACAACATGTGCTCATCTGATCATCCCTTCTAAGACCAGAACTTTTATTTCTTTATACTTAAGAAAATATTCTCAACAGATAAAAGCTTTGTATGTTGTGTATTGTTTCTCAGTTGAATAAATTTTATGTTTGGACTATTTTTATTTTAGTCTCAGAATGACTGCTAACATAAAATGTTATATATCTGAAAACTCATCAACAAACTTTTTTCTATTCTTACATTTGTTATTGTTGTGTCGGAAACCTACTACCCCTCTTGAAGATGAACTTGTCTACAAACAAAGACGTTAAACGTAGTGGCATGTCAAAAGACAGAGTCAGAGCAGTTCTTGGCTGAGCTAGTTATAGACTACTCAGGCGATTTCTCTACCTACTTACCAACCGAATAAACCCCTTTTATTTGTTACGTGTTATTTGGCGTTTGTCTTTACTAACCCCAAATCAACATCATAACAGTTATGTATTAAAAATGAAGTGGCACTTAATAATGGTAAATATATAAGAGATGTTTTGCTGATTAAAATTTGGCAAGTCAAAATAAAAGTTTTCCAAATTATCTTATATACAATAGTAAGTCAAAATATCCACACTTTT